TGAAATCAAGTGAAGTCAGTGAATTCCTGGGATTCCATCGATTTCATGTAGTTTCAATTGAAATCACTTGCAATCGGTGAAATTTCATGAAATGATGAAATCAGAAACTCATCAGACCCTTTCGAATACATGAAAGAGAATGAAACATTTTCGACACGGACGAAAAAATTTAATAGAAAAACCTATCGAGTTCGTTTCTATTGAACTCTATTGAATGAATTCTATTGAATTTCTATTGAACTGTTCTATTAGTTTTTGGCCGATTCTATTAAAATGTTCAATAGAAAATATTTAGTAGAAAAAATCAATAGAATTCAATTTTTCTGTATAACTTATTCTATTGAGATATTTTCTATAGAATTTTCTCGGCTCAAATTTGCTAAGTTTTTTCGTTTGATTTTCTTGATGAGAAGAAAAGAAAAATAGAATGAAAAAAACTTAGAAAATCTGAGTCGAGCAAATTCTATAGAAAATATATGAAAAGAATAAGTTATATAGAAAAATCGAATTCTGTTGACATTTTCTATTGAATGTTTTCTATTGAACATGTCAATAGAATCAGCCAAAAACTAATAGAAAGTCTAATAGAAATTTAATAGAATATTCTAACTAATTCGATAGGTTTTTCTATTAATGTTTTTCGTGCATGGACTTATTTGTAGTGTATTATTCTACGTATGCCCATTTACGTCTGTTATCAACATCGACAATGGATATTTTCTGGGAATTTCCCATACGACGTTGGATGTATTGACTGTGGTAGAAATAAATATTTTATCGAATGACTGAAAAAAATATATATATTTGATTCTCATGTAAATAGATGAAATTAAAAATTTGAAATCATTTGAAATCGCGAAATCACCAAAAACTTCCAGGCAATCACATGAAATCAATCATTACATGAAATCATGGAAATCTCTCAGAAATCACGTGAAATGAGCAATCACTGTGTCACCGGATTTCTAAAAGAATGGCCCCTCGTTTTCAACAATCATCACAAACATCGAATCAAACAATATAGCTATCGTAATCATCTTTCAACTTCGACTTGATGGCATGGAAACTAACATGTTAAGCTATGATTGAATTAATTTAAAACATGATATTCAAAGATATCCCGGGAATTCTGATTTTTCAAAAAATACAAAATTTTTGCAAATTTTCAAATAAATCAAAATAACGATTATTGCTATCACCTTTATCTTCCAACTCAGTCAAAAGGACATCCAAACAAATTTTTTAAGCCATCATTTACTCAATTCAGAACACTTTTCTCAATTATCGTGGAACAACCGATTCTCGAAAGAAAGCGAAAATTTAAAAAACTAATCGATGAATTAAATTTTAATTAATGGCAATCGATACGGCTCAACTATACCTACATTTTTAAAAAAGGATTCAATTCCATCCATATTCTCTACACTCTAGACAAAGAATACTTATCATAGATGAAATCCTAAATTCTTCTAACCTAAAAGTTTAAACTTTACATATTAATTATTACTCAAGCTATAAATGTATCTAGTTGAAGACACAAAAATTATCAACTTTTGTAACTCCCCTAAATCTAATCTCATGTATTGTACTAGTTTAACGGAGTAAGTAAGTAAATAATTATCATTTGTGTAAATTCATACAAAATCATTGTAATATTACTGCAAAATAAACCTTAAGGTTTAAAGTAGCTCTACCCTTACGGTAAATTCAAATATTATTGAAAACTGCAAAAAAAATTGCAGAAAACTCGATTAGATTCGGAGTTCTAATTTTTTTCTCAATTTAATTATTGTTTTAGTATTTCAAAGAAGAAATGTTAAAAAATCAATATTTAACCCAGTGTATTATGTGAAAATCAACATTTCCGGTGTAATCAAAGATTAAAATCAGATTATTTTTTCATTAGATGTGAAAAAATCAAGAATTTTGTTGACACCTCATAAAACATAATCCACTGTTTTGCAAACAAGTTTTATTATTTATTTATAAGAGGGAAATGTTTGAAAAAATATCAATATTTTGCCAAATTAAATTTAGATAACACTGACTGGGTATGAATTTTTTCAAATTTTTTCCGTGCAATTTAGTTGAAAAATTTTAAAACTGAAAATATCCAAAAGTACAGCGTAGCCTGACCGAAAGGTATAGAGCTACTTTAAATGCCTATAATAAAAAAAATTCCATACATACCACGAGGTCTAAAAATTGCATTTTACTTTTTGGATCATACTGAATCATTATAACACAAAAAATCCGAAACTTAAATGTGAACGATTACAAAAATTCCATTCGGTAGCAAAAGTAGTCCGCAGGGTGGGCAGACAACCTAGGAGAAAAGGTTTTCAGTCCTCCAGAGGTTAAACCAAAACAAAATATTCAACTCACACAACTGTTTGAAAAAACTGGCAACCTTCTAAACGGAACATAACTAGGATAATTCAGTCAGGACTTTTCAGGTCAATTGGCACTTGCCTCTATAAGAGTGGGAGGGTAAAGGCATCAGAATTAGAAGTAGAAGAAGAAGAAGGAGAAGACTTTTCAGGTCAAAATATTCAACTTGGAATCTTATTAAATTCTAAAATAGAAATACACGAAAAAGTTCGAGGGCAACTCCGACGCATGCTATCACTTCGTAAGGGTATTTTGACCTTTTTTTAGCTGTGGAACGGAGTAACCCGAATCTGTGGATGATTCATCAATTTTTGCTTTCAGATAGGAATGCTAATGTATGCACCCCAAAGGCCAAAAATAGAATTTCGATCATATTTTTATATCCGTTTTAGACCATAACAAAATTTCTGTACGTGTGCGTTTGTGCTTGAGTCTATATATATAGACGAAAATATATTTATATTTTCGGTGAAAACAGGGGAGGGTGCGCCTGTCGCTCTCGCCGGCCATACCGCTCACCCCGTTCTTCCACAATTATGAGCTTTGAATTTCTCTTCCTTTTCTTAAGATGCAAGGAGAGAAATACTCAGTAAAAATTACGGAACAATTCACGTAATCCGCAATGGGGAATTGTTTTTCGGTAATTTTTATAGGAATGAAAGAGAAGAAATCTGAAACGTTCGGTGAATTCTCAGGTTCACCACCGAACAAAGTACAAAATTCTCACGTAATTTCTCCCGAAGCAGTAAAATCTTACAGAAACTTTCCGACTTATTATGCCTCCAAAATAAAAAATGATTGAACGTTCAACAATTTTTATGAAGCTGGTGAGTTATTTTTACGTTCCGTTCCGTAAAATTTTTCAACTTGTTGTCCCCACAGCGGTGAGTCATCAGACGGGTGGTTAATTTTTACGGAACAAATCGTAGAATTTACGTGGTGATTCGTACCATTTCAGTTCCGACTCACACTTTTTTATTGAATTTTACTTCGTTCGCGAATTACGTTTCGAAACGTAATTTTTACGTTTTTTTCTGGTAATTTTTATTGAATTTTTCTCTCCGTTTGTTTGAATTGATGAGACGATCTAATTTTCTGAAAAATTGCACTCCATCTACCCTTCTAAATATGACAGAAATACAAAACAAAGGTTTTAGGGGCTTAGGATGTACAATTGGTCAGCCAATAAATAAGGCTTTTTATAGTTTTAAAAACCAAATTGTCTTGCAAAAGTGATGTTATCCGATTCCTAGTACTTTCTTGCGCGTTTAAACCACTGTTCAATTCGACTTGGGTTAATAATTGGTGACAATTTCCTCAATTCTGATTTTGACCAATCAGAGTGCAGTATTTGGGGTCACGTGACGCGTTTCACACTGAAAATTTCCCCGTAGCCTGTCAATTGTTTTCTACGAATTTGACAGATATTCCTCACATTTTGGTGAAATGTGTCCCGTAACCCCGAATTCGATCAGGGTCACTGCACCCTGATCGGCCAAAATCAGAATTGAAGAAATTGTCGCAATATTGCGTATAATTTTCTTGCAACTGAGAATAATTTTTTACCGCATGCGTTCAGTAAAATTTTAGTAAAAAAAATATCCTACTGGTGTGGAAAATTTTACTGTACAGGAGAATAATTTTTGCATTCCTAGATGTGTTTTTAAACTTTGTCACGATTTTCTAGGTAGTTTTTATCATATTTTATTGAAGCCGGATCAAATCCCGTCTGCATATTGAAAGATCGAAATAATACGCAAGAATTGTGATTAAATTTCAATCTATGCTAATACTACGACATGAATAAAGAAAAAGAAAATACTAATATAAGAATTCCAAAGGAAACAGAATCCATTCGGAGGCAAATTGATAATTTATTGGCAACAAGAACCATACCCATTTACAGAAACTGCAATGATTCATTTGTTTTCCGTGTACAAAAAACAAAATACGTTTTCTTTTCAAAGATAATGAGGAATACAAAACCTATAATCATGAAAAATCTGTGGAAGGATTCGTATTCGTTATTTTTTCAATTACAAAAATATGCGCCCAGCATTTGTTGTTAATCCATTTTCATTCACGAATTTAAACGAAGGTGATGCGAAACCTCAGTTAATCATGAATGGAAGACAATAGTCTTGATCCGAAACCATTGTTCCCTCCACACGAAGAAGAAAATAGACGTACTCCGACCAATACAAGTCACTTCTGACTCATTGCCCAAAGTTATCCAGTTCGTTTCAACCGGGAATCGCATTATTTTTAATTCGAGCCAAACGGGAGCTACGGGGTCACTGGAGATACATCTAACTGGCGAAACTCGCCGTTCCGCCAGACCAAAGGAGATCGAAAAGTTTAGGAGGGCTAACGCGCTTTATAAATCCTTCGGGCATGAGCGAAAGTACGAAAAAGTTTTTTACATTATTGCTACCCCACTCCGGTAACACAAGCCAGTCCAATCTCACTCGATGATTTCTCTTCCTTCTTCTCTCTCTCTCTTTCTCTCCTCCCTACTCCATTCCCGAAAATCTTCCCCTTTTCATCATTCAAAATGCCCTTCTTGAAATGACTTTTTTATGAAAGAGGTCTAATGTGATTGATTTCAGGAGACTGCTGCGAGGAGGAGAACGAGACCGAATGTTGAGAGCCCATACGGGAGACACAGTGTGCACTATGAATCCTCCATAGGTAAGGAGAATCTTCAGATTTGCAAGAAAAAAGTATGGGCGGGCAAGATAAAATGGGATAAAACGGGATACTCCAATTTTGCACAAAAAAATCGAAAATTTCTTAAAATCATAAAGATATTCATTACTCGTGTGATATGATTTCTTTTTCCTCCCAAAAAAATTTTCAAATTTCACCGGTTTTTCGTTGCAAGGGTTAACTTGCCAACGCGGCCATCGCCCGAGGCCCTTCAGCCAGGGAATGTTGAATGTGGAGTGGAGTTTTCAGTTGAAAATTCCGTGGAATATTCGGTTTGAAAATTGTGTTGAATTTTCAGTTGAATATTATGTGGATAATTGTGATGAAAAATTGGTGTGGAATTTTTGGCCCGGCCGGGGCTCGAACCTGGGAGCTTGAGGTTGTGAATCTCATGCTGCTACCAAGTGCGCCACACAGCCGGGTTTTTTCCTCCCATTTATTGGTTTCTGATGGAATTACCGAAATGTGGGAAAATAATTGAATAAAAACGAATAATGAGTGTACAAAACTCAGTGACCAAGTGATAGACTAAAGTTTAAATGAGCTTTAAACCTAGCGCAGCATTTCCAATCGTTTTCGAGATATGAAATAAATTGTTGTCAACGACAACACCGCACAACAACTGATCGAGATCGGTAAAGTCGGTGACGATAATTCAGTGCTGGAAGCATACGGACACGTATAAAACACACAAACATTCATCTCACTGTTACAACCCCACTACTAGCCGAAGCGTGCGATGTTGTCCGATCAAAATTCGACTGTTACCACTGCAGTCACAAGTCCTCCATTATTTATGACCATTTTCGTTAATTATCATTTTTTAGACCGAAAAAGTACGCCATAACACTTCTAATTTGATGAGAAAAATAATTTGTAACATGAATGATTTATTTAGTCAATTTTATTTTTATTTTCAACTGAATTGTCCACTTGACAGGTTAAACATGCTTAAGTGACATCGTCCCGAATAATGTCACAGATTTTCATGTACTCATCTCTAGTTTTTGGGAACCTATCATCCAATTTTAGTGATAAAAATTACTCAAACCCCGTAATGTGTTGCATTGAGACCTTGTCCACAAGAATTTTAATTCCCACATATTCACGATTTACACATTTAATTGGACTGCAATGTGATGTACCATATCCCAATTACATATTATCAATTTCAAATTTGCAAATGTCCAATTTATTGTACATAATTCGATATTTATCATTCGAGAAAAATAAAATCCATAAAAGTCCGAACCGGATTGATGAATTTTGTTTTTCTTGAATTTCACATGCTGAAATAACGCCTGTCGAATTGCACGCATGAAATTAAATGAACTGAATTTACATGTTTGCCATCGGAAATGATGAATTGGAAATAATATTCCTCTTTCCGAGGCATGACGAGGCTAAAATAATTAGCGAAACGTTGCAAAATGAAAATCAGATAAATATTATTTTCACTTCCAACATAGCTTACAATGTTTTGGATGTTCAACAATAATGGAGATGAACTAGAACATAAATATTCCTCTTTGTCTTGTAGCACAATAAAAATGGATTTTTTCCTTCAGATTTCAGCACACCGCCTTTTGAGGCGTGCAGTCTTCCGGCACTGACACATTCCGCCATAGACGAAGATGAGACTGATTCCACGCGGGCGTAAGTACTATCCTATTCATCTCCCCCAGTGTAGGGTAAAAAAATCATGAAATTTCAGGTTTCACTGAAAATTCACTAAAATTCCAGAATTTTAAGCAACATAAAACGAGAATTACTTAATTTAACTGTTTAACAATTCCTGAATCCCATGCAGTGTCACTGTCCTGAAAATTCAAGAATATTATTACGGACTCGAATGGTTTAATTCTATCCTCTTTCCTCTTTTGTAAAATAAAAACAAAGTCGATTTGCCATTCTGTAATGTTTAGAAATAACTTCATGAAGAACTGTCAATAAATACGCGCCTTCGATTTATCCTGAACTATTTCTTATTTAAATACAACAATATATTTAGCGGAATTTTCTGGTTTCTATTCATTTTCGGGGAAAATGGAACTGAAATTGACAGTTCTCTTTAATATTTCTACGAAATTCTGAATTTTCAATAACGAAATTCCTTGAAATTTCAGTGGTGATTAAATTCCATAGAAATTTCCAAAAAGTGTAGCAGAAATTTCAGACAAAATTTTTTAACAATGTAGTATACTAGTAATAGTGGTCTCCGTGTACATTTACTCTTCGTGCCAGGGCAATTTCTGCTGCATGCTTTTCTCCGTGCGGACAAGACAGAGAACCGTACATTGAATAAAACGAAAACTTTGTTGTTCCCGACGTTGAAAGTTTGATTGGTCCTAGTAGCTCAGAGAGATACTAAATTAAGCTCTCTGGGGTACAAGACATGCGAGCGGAGGATCCAACAAATCACTCACAAAATCACTTAAGTTCTTGCTTCCGGGAGGCTGCCTCACCCGGATATACAGCGACACCTATCGCCTCCGAGACCCTTCCGTCTTTTTTGACTTTTTCCTGACCGCAAAATACACTTCACATCAAGACCACGATATTCATTACGTGTTTTACGTTCTGTTGGATGACCTGGACACAGCATTTTCACTTGTTCTCGGAAATTCCGGGGAATTACGGTGAAGTGAGAACTTTTACAACTCCGGGGGCGGGGGAGGGAGACGGGCAAGTGACTATTCATTGTGCCTTCAAGTCAAGGGGCGCCACCGAAGGCCATTTAACTTTTAATAGTCCCACGCTCTTTTACGAGCTTCTCGCCATTTCAAGAAAGCTCCAATGCGTGCTTTCTCGTGGCCGAAACCATGTGGATTTTTGAATAGCGCAGTGACACAATGAAGTAGGACTCAAGGGCAATTTCAAAGTTGTCGGGTGCTGAGGAATCCGTAGTGATTTAGTGAGTGGGTATGAATTCATTCCCGTTCATTCATCAATTCGGCTTTTCTCCGTGGCGTTCTGATAACACCAGTTTGGAGAGGGATATTTTTAGCTCGGGGTACATAACAATGCCGAAAGACTTATGTCTGACGATGAACACTTCATTCTTTATCATTCATCTGGGAGACGGTGGGCTTACGGAGGAAGAAGGCCATTGAGCGTAAGGTGCAGTGGGGTGAAACAGGTTAATTTTGTTTGTCAACTGGACAGTTACCGTACGGGCACCGGCGATTTCATTGCTCGGCGCACTAATTTTTCATGCATTCATATGGAATTTGACTGGAGGTGGAGATCACTCTTCGATCGAGAGGGAAGGTACGGCCATGACCAAAAATCGAATGTCCAAATCCAATGAAGTCTTATTTTTAGAAATATTTAGCAGAAACATCTGATACACTTTTACTACATACACGGAGAAAAAAAAATTCTAATATCTGAAACATATTTTCTTGAGAGAAGTAAATTATTTTCAATGGCTTAAATCTCAGAATGTGTGCACTTCACGGAACTCGAATAAATTTTCATTCATCACTATCGTTCCGCGTTACGTCATGACTATTTTACATATTGCAATATTGGAAGTGCATAACGAAAAAATCATGAAAACAATAAAGACTAGAAGATTGACGATTCTTCTAAGCGGCTTAAGTCAGTTCATTTGCGACAAAATCATAGTTGAGTACAAGAATATTTTAAAGCATGAGGCCTTTCTCGGGTCATGTGAGTTGAGATGCCTGAGAGAATTAAGCAACTGAAGAAAATTTACTCGTCTCAAGAATAGTATATTATGTCATCAGGCGATAAAAGTATTATTTCAAACTCAAACTCTCTCAACTATCATTATATTTTACTGAAAAGACTCAGACTCTTTCTTTCTCGCCTTCGGCTCGGATTATAATGCCACATTCGCCAGATAATGCTTTTATCGCCGTGTGACATACGATATTTTATGTCGTTGGGCCCAAAAACCGCGATCTAACCGAGCGAACCGAGGTTAGAATCGCGGTTTTTTCGGGCCTAACGACATAAAATATATTTCAGATATTAGAAAATTTTTTTCTCAGTGTATTCTATATCACCACTACGTCAAAAGTGCAACTTATTGATTTGTCTTGTGTGCAATAAGGGGAGCTGCAATGTGCAATGGCGTTCAGTTCCATTGAAGTTGTCGTTGGTTACCGAAGAGTATTTTTGTTAAAATAAAATTTGTTATGTTCAACAAATCGGAAGAAGTATTATACGAAAATTGTGGAAGACTGTATTTTATCGTTCAAATACAATGAATTGTGTTAAAAATGAGATGATTGTATTTCAAAAAGAATCTTTTCTCTTTGGAATAGTTGGGTTTTTCTTCAATCAAAAATTATCAATAAATTGTAGAAGAGAGTTCTTTTCCAGTCAAATAAAATTGATTATGGAGTTTGAATGTGATTATGGGATTTGAAATATTATGATTTTTCATTCAGTGGTAATTCGGTTTTTCTTCAGTGGACCCCCGTCTTGCGCTCCCATCCCAGCCCTCCCTAAACGTTGTCGTACTTTCGACTTTAACCTCGACATAAAATAATTTAGTTCCCCTGAAATTTCAAGAAATTTCGTCTTCAAACTTCACATTTCAGGTCAATTTTTTCATCGACCCCTCTCGTGATGACTCCGAGTCAATTTATTTCATCTCAATCTCAAGTCTTTCGTGTTTTTAATGTAAAATCTCGGTTTGTCTCGTCTCGATTTTCTACGTATAAAAAACTCGAAAACCTGGAAACCCAGATGAAATAAATTGTCTCAGAGTCATCACGAGATGAGTCGATACTGCGTATTTCGAAATTGAGATGAGATCAAAAATTTCTGTGTTCGCTGAGACCGAGACAATCCCTCCAAAGTATTGTCTCATGATGTCTCGTGAAGTCGCTCGCGGCCTCACTAGTCAAAAAGCCCTAAAAATAAATTCTGCTCTACGATTACATCACTTGTTTGGTAATTTTTCCCCAACTGTTTACGCCTTGTAGAAGGCTTGACTCTCCGTCAACGAAAATTTCAATAATGCACCCCCACTACCAGTTGCACCGCACACTGTTATAAAAAAATGAAATTGCATGGACAGTTGATTACGAATTTTCAGGACAGTGACACTGAATGCCATTTAGGCGTGAAAAAAATCGTGAAATTTCAGGTTTCACTGAAAAATCATTAAAATTCCATAATTTTAAGCAGCATAAAAACGAGAATTCCTTAATTTATTTGAATTTCCAATCCAATATGAATATTCAGTGCCAAATATTACATTCAATTTTCAGTGAAATCTGAAATTGCATGATTTTCTTCTCCTTAAATCGCATTCAGTGTCACTGTCCCGAAAATTCAAGAATATATTTACCGGAATTTTCTGGTTTTTTATTCATTTTCAGGGAAAAATGGAACTGAAATTTACAGTTCTCTTTGATTTTTCCACAAAATTCTGAATTTTCAATGACGAAATTCATCGAAATTTCAGTCGTAATTAAATTCGATAAAATTTCCGAAAACTGTAGAGGAAATTTCAGACAAAAATTTTAACAGCGCAACTTTTTCCGAAAAAAAATCCGGGACCAACAGAATAATATGACATTTATCCTCAAGTATAAATACTTCCCCTTCCCCTTCCTCCAGTCGGACAGATTCATTCACCGATTAAGGATGTTCTACACCCTTTCTGCCAAAATTCACGTTTTTTTAATTTTTCTGGCAAACTTATGATGGAATTGACGTGAAAAAATATAACGTTTTTGCGTTTTGTCATTATTTAATGACTGACGAAATTTTAAGGTGGTGCGAACATTTTCCTGCGTTTTCTCTAAACTTTTAAAAAGAATCACAAAACTGTAGAAAAAACGCATGAAAATTATCGCACCACTACGCAACTTCGTGAGCCATTAAAGAATGACAAACCACAAAATCGTTATATTTTCACGTCACTCCCATCGATGATTTGCCAGAAAAATGAAAACAACGTCAATTTTGGCTAAAAGGGTGTCGAACATCCTTAATAACTGGAAAACGTAAGAGTTATTCTCATGCATCTCATTCAGTCCATCTAACCCGATAATCCTCCTTCCCTCGACCGATTCATGTACATTTGTGAATTATTGTTCAGTTATAGAAGGGAGAAGCGGGGTTGGCGGGAATGGAGCATCCTGAGAGCCAGCGCAAGAAATTCCCTCCTTCGGTTGGGCACATCCACCTCCAAACAGCGTCCACACTGTTCAGTAAGTAATGACAATGAGCATCCAGTGGTAGAAATGTAAAAGTAAAAAAAAATGAGAGACCTTCTGAAAAGAAAGTTGGTAAAATGAAGAAAAATTGCGCTGGAATTCTTTTTTTTTCTTCATGTCATTTGTATTATTCTGGTTGTGGATAAATGTGAGAAGGTGTAATGTGAAAAGTGGATGTGTGTGAGTGGTACGTTAGTGAATAGGAGGAAAATAGTAGAATAGAGAGTATGTACGTGATATATAGATATACATTATGGGTTTGTGGAGGAGCGCAGTTGGCTAGCCCTCCGGCTCTAATAGCACCTCATGTCTGGCAGTTGGCTTTATTATCAAGAAATATTGCCTCTTACCCCTGAGATTATAACGTGTGTGTTGGTTTTTTTTTCGTGAAAAGAAGATTTTGCTTTTCGTTTTTGAGACAACGAGTCTTGCGAGGGAAAGGCAGAGGTTTACGGTACGTTTTATTGCCTCTCGATGAAAAGACTTGATAAATTTTGTCAGCAAGATCGGAAACTCACCATTCATTTCGCATTTTTTTTCCTCAATGTTGAGTCAAGAAGACTTGGAGTTGAATTTGACTACACGATTACTTGATTTGTTTGGTAATTGTTCCCCAACTTTTTTTTCGCCGTGTAGGTGATTCCACTCTACACTGTTGAAAGGTTTCCACTGAAATTTCCGGGAAGAGTCTTGGAAATTTCTAAAAAATCACATTTCCACTGAAATTTTAAGGAATTGCGTCATTAAAATTCATAATTCCATCGAAAAATCCATGGGAATTGTAAATTTTAGCTGAATTATTTTGGGAAAATTAATGAAAAATCAGGAGAATTCAGAGAAATATCTCCTTGAATTCCCGATTCCTCTGAATTTTCAGAGAATTCCTTCAAATTCCCTGGAATTCCGAGAATTTCAAAGGAATTTGTGCAGTGAATATTCATTTTGATCTGAAAATTCATGTCAATTATAGACTGTTTGTCTTTCTGCCGCTAAAAATTGAGACTTTACTTGAATTTTCAGAGAAACTTGAAATTCCATTAATTTTTTCCCCTTAAATCGAATTCAAGCTCTTTTTTCGGAAAATTCAGGCAAATTTTTTTGACAATGTAAAATGTTTGTTTGGATAAACGAGGAACGCCTCATGCTTGATAGTTGATTTTATCATCAAGAAATATTGCCTCTTCGTCCTGAGATTATAACGTGTGTGTTGGTATTTTTTTCGTGAACAGCAGATTCTGCTTTTCGTTTTTGAGACAAGGAGTCTTGCTAGGGAGAGCCAGAGGTTTACGGTACGTTTTATTGTCTCTCGATGAAAAAACTTGATAAATTTCGTCAGCAAAATCGGAAAGTCACTAACCGTTTCGCATTTTTTCCTCAATATTGAGACAAAATGACTCGGAATTAAATTTCACTCCATGGTTACCTGATTTGTTTGGTACACTGGAATGTTAGAAAAAAAATGAAATTTCATGGACATTTGACTACTCCTTTTCAGGAGAGTGACACTGAATGCGATTTGGGGGAAAGGAAATCATGAAATTTTAGGTTTCACTGAAAATTCAGTAAAATTCCAGAATTTTAAGCAGCATAAAGACGAGAATTCCTTACTTTAATTGAACTTCCAAATTAATATAAATATTAAGTGCTAAATTACATTGAATTTCCAGTGAAATCTGAAATCTCAAGATTTTTTTCCCCCTAAATCTTATTTAGTGTCACTGTCCTGAAAATTCAAGAATGTATTTAGCGGAATTCATTTTCAGGGAAAAATGGAACTGAAACTTACAGTTCTCTTTCATTTTTCCGCGAGATTCTCAATTTTCAATTACGAAATTCCTTTCAATTTCGATGGTAATTAAATTCGATAAAAATTTCCAAAAAGTGTGCCGGAAATTTCAGACAAAATTTTTTGACAGTGTTTAGGTGATTGCACTTTAAAATCCTCACAATGAATAGTGTCATTACAGAACTTTAGTGTCATTACAGAACTCATTACAGAACTTATAGTGGGTGAAAAGATCATAAGGAGTGTTTGTCTAGAGAAACGAGTCATGTCTGATTTAATTATGTCATGTGTGGTTTTATTATCTAGAAATATTGCCTTTTGTCCGTGAGATTATAGCGTGTTAGTTTTATTTCGTGAAAAGAATATTCTGTTTTTCATTTTTGTGACAATGAGGAACCTTGCTGGAGAAAGGCAGACGTTTACGGTACGTTTTATTATCTCTCGATGAAAAATCCTGATAAATTTCGACAGAAGTAGTAAGAGACTGTAGTAAGTTTGTAGAGGTTTACGGTACGTTTTATTATTTCTCGAAGAAAAATCTTGATTAATTTCAACAGCGAAATGGCGAATTGACCTCGAGAATGCAGTCCTGACGAACAATTATGTGTTCTCCGGAAGATATTTTGCCGTCTTGAATCAATTAAGCTGTAGACAAAAATACAATTTTCCATTATATTTTGGTGAACGATACGATTTTTTTTGTATGCGGCACATAACATTATAGTAACTTCACAAGCGTAATTTTTGCAAATCAAAATGCAGTTAAACTAACCAAAGTTCAAAAGTAACCACGACAAATCTATCGTGAGCAGAACTATAAAATAGTTGCAATGACTACATTTTTTTTTTTTTTATATTCCGGCCCTTTCTGCCCTCTGATTGGCTAATCGACCCTATCCAACCCTATGCATGCGGCTGTGGATTCTACACTGCACCGCATTCGCACTCCTATAGAACATAGGAGTAGCATGGGAAACCACAGAAAACCCATGCCGGTACAGGCGGTCACTATATTAACAACTTCCCGCTCGCCGGAGGCAATGACTACATTCCATAGTGATTACTTCTCCGGCCATAGTTACCGTAACCCATGAAAAATTATTGAGGACTTTTTGACTATAATTCGATGGTGATGGAATATAATCAGAAGAATTATATTTTTCTCTCAGTGCACCTACAGCTACTCATTTTCTCCTCCATAGAGATGATTTCCCTCCAAAATCTTGAAAATGAATCTTGTCCGCTCATTATAGAGCTTTGGTGAGCGCTCCTCATGCCTGAAAGTTGTTTTTATCATCTGCGAATATTGTCTCTCACCCCTGACGGGATTTTAATAACGTGTGTTGGTTTTTTTGTGGAGAGAACGTTCCGCCTTCCATTTTTGAGACAACGAGGCAGACGTTTCGGATACGCTTTATTATCTCTCGACAAGAAGTCGTGATAAATTCCGGTACTGAAGTGGTAAACTATAACGGCAATCTGGAGATACTTCTCAACTCAGTATCTCTCTTTGCAACTGGCGTTTTCCAGAAATTAATGAGAGTGATTGTTTTTGCTCCGTTGAATTAATTTCCAGCGAAAATAGTCTTTTAAAGTTTCATCTTCCTTAGGTGGGTTCACCTTTAAAATCCTCAAAATGAATATGGTCACTTCATTACGGAGCTTGGGGCGGAGGGGGGGGGGGGCGGCAAACGACGTGGGACAGTTCTTTTGAGTAAACTAATAACGCGTCATGTTGACTTTATCATCCAGAAATATTGCTGGGATTACAACATATGTTTCTTTCGTGGAAGAACATTTCTTTTTTTTTCTTTTTCGAGACTTGGAATTTTTCTCAGAAGAAGGCAAAGCTATAGGGTACAATTTAGCTCAGCAGGGAAGCGGTGAACGTGAAGAATTAATTAAAAAATTCTACTAGGAAAAAATGCGAAAAGACGTGTATCTCCCTCTTGACATTTTTTTGCATTAAAATGACCCGTCTTCTACAGAATTAAATATTCACTTATAGTACCAGAAGAGTTTCGAAATTATCGGGTTGCCAGTTTGAGAAACTTGACAAATTCGTTTATATGCGGGGAACTTTGATTAAAAAATAGAAATCTCTCTATATAATAAAAAAATAAGCCCAACAATTCAGGCGACGCTCAAAATTCAGGCGACG